CCCAGGTTGGGGGGTCTCAGTCTGTCTGACTCTGAGAACCACCCCCAACCCCCACTGTTCCCAGGTTGGGAGGGGGGGTCTCAGTCTGTCTGACTCTGAGAAAACCCACCACCACCCAGTGTTCCCAGGTTGGGGGTCTCGTGTGGGAGCGTGTGTTTGTTCTGACTCGTCTCCAGGGCTCATCATGGTGCTCAAATACCTAATGTGCGTCTTGATCATGTTTTCAAAGGTGTTCAGAGTTGGGAGAAAGTCTAAAAGCCTTTGAAAACCTGGCTTTTTGATTCTAAACACTTTAAAAATACCTTCTAGAGCAAAATGGAATTTTGAAAAGGGGTGGGAGCACGCAGAGCATCAAAGAGCTCCGGATGGGGCGCAGCCAGTACTTCCCGGTGCTCTGTGTTCTTCCTTGTCAGACTTGAACAAATGCATCTTTAGGTAATTGCTTAATTGTTAGACCTGTCAAGAGAAAGCCTTCACTGCCATCACAGGCTGCATGTGAGATCATCCTTTCAGCCTAGAGTCTGGAAAAGCGTTCCTGGTGATTGCAGCGTGACAGGGTCCCGGAGCATCAACTCCTGCTCAGACGCGTGTGGATAAAAGAGGGGGAGAGAGTAGGTTCTTAGGTGTCGGGGGAGCCAGAATTAGACTTACTTTTCTGGGGTCTCTCGCTTGAGGAGGAGAGCTGGTAACACAGTGGTTTAAAGCCACTTGCTACTCCTCAGGAGAAAGAGCTAACAGTCTACTTTTGGAAAGATTTGGTTTGGAAGCCTGATGGAGCAATTCCAGTCTGTCCAATAATACCACTACGAGTCTGACTCCACTCTACAGTGGTGGGGTCCTTTGAGCGTCTCAACAATATCTTGACAGCTTTTCACATGAGACCATGAGGCAGACATGTACCACGAACAGCCGGGAGCATGCCATGCGAGTGAAATAATGCGTCGTTGACGGGTCATGAGATTTGGGATCAGGAAGACGAGGGCTATCAATGTAGGGACGATGCTCTTCCTGAGATTTAGTAGAAGCGAAATGACTTTGATGATCCATTGTATGGAAATGTAACCATCTCCCACCATCGAGTTCTTGAGAAAGTTCCATTAAGTGACTATTAAATGGCCATCAAAGTGCTCGCTAAGCACCTATGTGGTTGCGGTTGTTAGTTGCTGTGAAGCCAACTCTGACCCATGGGCTGACAGAACGAAGGGTTGGTTGCCCCGTCCTGTGCCATCTACTAGAGTCCACTGTTTCCAGCTATTGTGCCAACCCATCTCAGCGAAGGTTTCCCTCACGTTGGCTGACCCATCGCCAAGCGGGATGTCCTTTGCTAGCAGTTAACCTTTCATGATGGTGCGTCCAAAGTGAGCAAGAAAAAGTTCCAGCACCCTCACGTCTAAAGAGCCTGCAGGTGTCATTTCTGCACGATGGCTTGCTCTTCTAGCTGTTGCTGGTATAGCCCTTCTTCTCCACCACTGGAGTTTGCACCTGTCAATATTGTCCTGTCTTTCTTTTTCATTACCCACCTTTCACATTCATGTGAGGCGGCTGAAAAGGCTGTGGATTAGATCAGGCACATCTTAGTTGTCCAAGGGACATCTTTGTTGTTGTTGTTTTTGATATAACTTCAAAGCGTTCTTTAAATTGCAGCAGATTTACCCAATATCTGAAAGTAGAGAACTTCTATGAAACTTTTTGGAAGCGGAAATGACCTAAAGGAAAAAGCCATCGTCTGTAGAGAATGGGGCATCCTCTCACAGAGGGGACCAGGGAAGGGATGAGTCAACCAGGGCGCAGTACAGCACCGAGGAAACACAATATTCCTCTGGTCCCTTGAGGCTTCCTCAACCCCCACCCCCACTATCATAACCCTAGTACCGCGGGCTAGACTGGAGCATGTGCACAGGTACAGATAAGAGATAACAGCTCAGGACACACGGAATCCAGGAACAGGGATGGGAGTAGCAATACCAGGAGGGGGGGGAGGGGAGGAAGGGGGAACTGATTGCAATGATGGACACATAACTGCACCCCACCCCCACCCCTGAGGGATGAACAACAGAAGCCATGGGGGGAGGGAGACACAGTGGTCGGTGTAAGGTATGAAAATAATAATAACTTTATAATTTATCAAGGGGTCATGAGGGTGGGGGGGAGGGGGGAGGGCAAAAAAGAGGAACCAATACCAAGGGCTCAATAGAAAGTAAATGTCTAAAAAAGAATGATGGCTACATATATACAAATGTGCTTGATACAATTGATGTATGGATTGTTACGAGGGCTGTAAGAGCCCTCAATAAAACATTTTTGTTTTGTTTTTAAGAAAAAGGGTTGTGAAAGCCCCAGTAAATGATTTATTATCTTAAAAGGAGAAGAAGAAGGCAAACCCGGCATAGCTATTCACGTCTCTGGGCGCCCTCCGGGCGTCCGGATCTGTCCTGTGGGGCGGCCGTGAGTCACAGTGAACTCAGCGGCAGTGAGCTCTTTGGCTTGGATTGATGTTGAGACAAAAACAGCTAAAGTCATCAGTTTTGTGAGCAGACAATCTCTAGGGTGGGACCACTTCTCTCCAGTGCTCACTGGCTGGCTGAGTGAATGAGTGAGCAGATGAAATGTCTTGTGCATATGTGTGCATGGCATATATTACCTATGCCTGACTAAAGACATCGAGTTTAGAACTATTCCTTTTTTCTCTTTTTCAGACCAGAAACCACTCCCTTGGGACCATTCAAAAGCAAGAGACACCAACACCGTGACATATGCCGGTGCCGCCACCACCGCCACCTCCTCTACCTCCCCCTCCTCCTCCTCTGGGAGCTCCTCCCCCTCCCCCTCCATCGGCACCCCCGGTAAGACCTGCTTCTCTGTCGGTTTCACCATTGCCTATGCTTGAACCCAAGGTTTTACATGTTCAGAACTAGCCACCATTTAGATAGCTGGCTTCCCAGGCTCCAGGGTCTGATTGCAAACCAGGCTGGCCCAGGGCTGCCTCTCTCCCAGGGCCCACCCTCCAGCTCAGTGAAGCTTCCCCCTGTACCACACCAGTGAGGGAGGTCTAGCAAAAACGGCGGTGGGAACCGCCTGCTTTCAGCAGAAGATCATCTGGACCTTCTGACATGAAGTGGCAGATAAGAGCCGAGTCAGCAGAAGGCAGAACTAACCCTGGCCCGCCATCCCCCTCTGCTCAGAGGTGAGGAGAAAGACTGCATGGCCCTGGGCAGTCAAGGCCGGCAGGCCGGCTTGAGGCCCCACGGCACTGCTACAGGCCACAGGGAAGGAGAGACTAAGTCTGAGCTGCTGTCTGCTGCCATGTGCAGCACACGGATCAGGTCTGAGGTTGCAGGGCCACGCACCTGCCCAAAGGTTGGCCTTTCTCCTTGAAGGCAGGCCGGTTGAGTGGGAAGGAAAGCAGGTATCACAGACCACATTGAAAATTTTCCTGAGTGATAGAGTGGAGCCAGGATTGGAGTTCCACCCCTGATTTATATAACCATGTTCATAATACACATTATATAAACATATACATGAATATATATGCATGCATGTATACACATGGTATACATGCACATGCCTATTATATACACATGCATACATATATGCACATGTGTATGTATATGTTTTCACAAATCAGGAATGGAAGACCAATACTGTATATATATATACTGTATGTATGCATATATATAGGTATGTATAAATTAGGAGTGAAACTGCAATACTATATATGTGTGTGTGTGTGTGTGTATAGTACGTATCCTATATAATTATATCTCTATAGAGCTGTTGTGTTTGCTGTTGGGAATGCACACCACAGAACACACATCAACGCAACGATGTCTCCTGCTCATTTCCACGACACTGGTGGCTTCCTCGAGTTGTGCTCTTCTCAGCCTCCTTTCCAAACTGTGCCCCCCCCCATCCCCGCATGAGCATAAACTCACTGCCCCCTGCGTTCCCTAACTGAACTTTCAAGTTGCTGTTGCCAGTTAGATCCCATGGAGACAGACTTCTACCCCAGAACGAATCAAAGGAGAAGAACCCACAGGTGGCAGACACTGTCCGCAGTGCTGATACAGACTTGCCGGCATCGCAGAAGTACAAGTCAGAGTGATTGTCAGTACAAGGAGACACTCACACATTTCAAAATCCATATTGATGGAGAGTCAGGAACACCAGCACTTCTCGGCTATCTGGGCCTCGCTGACTGAGTCTTTCTGGTGGACGCCACCCTGACTGTGTCTTCCTCTTGCTTTCCCCTGATAATCTGCGAGTTTTACTTTTGGCGCCTATTTAAGCATTTAATCTTCTTGGGACCAGAAAGAATTTATGCAAAGGCATGTGTGCAGTTCTACCTATTCTCATAAAAAATTGAAATCTTAAGGGTTTTATGAGCACCAAGTAAAGTCTTGTGTAGTACTGTTAATTAAAAGTTACATTATGCCCTTGTGTTAATTAAAACTTACCAATATAACTGTGTTGACTATACCAAAGTCGGTCAGAACTGATGGCGAAAGTCATACAAAGTTTATCCATACGAATATCCAGCTGAGTAATGGCCATGATAGCAAAGATCAGAAGAGAATTTAGAATGCTCACAGGACAGTTTCGTATTTTCTTAGGGAAAGTTTTAAAAATATGCTTCCTTTAAAGAAATGACTCTCTTTTGGTTTAAATTTGCATTCTTTCTTTCCTTTCCCTTTAGGGGCAGAGCCTATCTCATAGATCAATGTGGGAGGGAAAATAACCATGCATTTTTATATTAAAAATGATATATTTGTCTGTAATCCTGGGGAAATATTTATAATAAATATTAAAGGCAAACAGCGAATGCCCTTAATTTTAAAATGCTCCTACTGATCGATAGGAGCCCGGGTGGGTTAGCGGTCACTCACTGGACTGTAACTCCACAGGAGAGAGATGGGCTTTCTACCCCCACAAAGAGTTACCGTCTTGGAAACGCGCAGGGTCTCTCTACCCTGCCCTACAGGCTCGCTATGAGTCAGCATCAACCCAACAGCAGTGAGGTTTCGGTTGGCTTTTTTATGACAGGTGGATCCACGTACTCATTTATCTACTTTCTTGTTATCTGGCATTTAGCATTGACAGTAACAGGAGAAAAAAATTACTGTGTGACTGTTTTTTGCATTGATGACATACAACTGGCGGTAACAAACACCTAAGGGAGTGGCAAGAATCAAGCTGGTTGTGACAGTTAAGGTCGTGTGTGTGTGTGTGTGTGTGTGTGTGTGTGTCATGAATGTGTCAAATGTTGGGCTGTGATTCTCAGCAGTCCCACAAGCGTGCAATGATGTTGATAAGTGAGGAGAGGGTGTACTGAACCAACCAATAGCAAAGCCGTACATCACACACCCTCCTTTCCCTTCTTTTCTCGCCCCCACCCCACCCCCTCCATCCCTTCTCTCTGGAGCTCTACTCTTTTGTCTCGGTCCTTTGAAATCCAATGAGAGGATCAGAATCGCCTGCATGAGGCCTGGGCACTTTTGTAATTAAATTACTTTTAATTTACAGAGTATCACTCTGTAATTTTGGTTACAGAGTATCACTCAAAATGTACCAAAAGGAAATAGGTGGGTGTGATGATTCTGAAATGCAGCAGACCCCTTGGTGTAGTACCTATGATGAAAAAATAAGTTCCTTGAGGGTCTCATTTCTCTCCCCCTGCCCTACCCCTTGCCCCCACACCCTTTTCAATTCTATACCACCTTGCACTGATCTTTACACAAGAGGTCATGTGGTAGTCCGAGTAGACTAGAGAAACAAATCCAGGGAGACACACATATATGTTAAGGTGACTAGACGTCCCGTTTTTGGCAGGACAGTCCCGATTTTTAACAATTTTCCCCACATCCTGCGGCATTTTTTAAAAGTCCCAAATTTTGGAAAGAATGCACGACAAGCTAGGGTATACGGTTTTCAGCTGCCATGTGGCTATTTCGCCAGGATATGAGTTTTATCAATGGTGTCCTGCTTTACCAATGTTAAAATCTGGTCACCTTAATATATGTATAAGAATGAGCTTTATAAACAAAGAGTAATTATATATTAAGAAAACATCCCAGTCCAGTCCAGATCAAGTCCATAAGTCCAATATTAGCCCATATGTCTGATACCAGTCTATAAATTCCTCTTTAGACTCACACAACACATACAATGACGCCCAATGCAGGAAGATCACAGGCCAGCGGGTGGAGAGTCTCGTGGATCCAGTGATGGTGGAAGCATCTCAATGCTGGCGTGGGTCTCCACATGGCTCCTCCAGCTCCAGGGCTCAGGCTCCATCAGCATAGTTCCAGTGTCTTGTCAACAAGAATGTCTCACAGGGAGAGAGGGTGTCTGTCTCGCCTCCAGAGAGCTATTTATCACTTTAGCGCCTCCAAATGAGGTCATCAAGCTGCGACCTGATCGACAGGCTAAACTATACCTTCACTCTTAATAGTCTCAAGTTGACAACAGATTATGTAACTGCCACAGGCCACAAATACGTGTCTGTGTGTGGCGGGGCAGCTGATGAACCATGTGGAGTTGGATTGCCTGCTGCAGTTGCCAGGTATCCTCAAGTCTCCTCCAATTCTTCGGGACCCAGAGTGCAACAGAACAAAGCAGTGCCCGCTCCTGTGCCATCCTTGAGCTTCCTGTCGCAGCCATCTAATCAATCCGTTCCATTTAGGGTCTTCCTCTTTGTCGCTGCCTTTCTGCTTTACCACGTGGGATCTCCTTTTCCAGGAACTGGCCTCTCCCTATGAAAAAACAAAACAAAGCAAACCTCACTGCCATCGAGTCAGTTCTGACTCGTGGTGACCCTATAGTGCAGGCTATACAACTGCCCTTGTGGGTTTCTGAGACTGTAACTCTTTGTACAGAGTAGAAAGCCTCACTGTTCTCCCGTGGCTCCACTGATGGTTTCAAACTGCCTACCTCACCGCAGTGAGCAGCCCTATACATAACCACTCCACCACCAGGGCTTCTGGATCTCTCCTGACAGCATGTCCAAAGTGTGGGTGATGACATGTGGACTGCGCAGAGCTAATGCCACAGCAGCTCGGGTGTTTGCTTCCAAAGTGGGCTTGTGTGCTCTTGTTTTTCTAAGGTTGCAGCTCATGCTGAGGCACCCGAGAGAGGAAAACCATTCTCCTAGGGCCGAAAGGATCTAACTGCTCACACACAAACGGAGGCAGCCTGCTTGTTGTTGGGTAGTCCTGTGTTGTCCAGGAAAAACAAAACTATAGACATGCGTACACCGGCCTCCTACCTTCCTGCTCGCCCATTCCTGGGGTACTGTTGAATCCAACCCTGGAGGGGAATTCAGACACAGGAGTAGACCCCCGCTCTCTTCCCTCTTTACTGCTCCCGGCGCCTTTGTTCAAGTTGAGCGAGCCTAGTGGCATATTGTTTTATTGTTTCTCCTGATAGGGTGAGGATTGCCTGGTTCCAGGGTAAGGTAGGCTTGGCTTGCCTGGGGATGGTTTCTCACAATGTCCAGCACACAGGAGCTCGTGCGTGGCATGGAAAAACATGTCTATCTGTGGAAGAGAACGCGGAAAATGGAGCGTTCACCAAAGTCCCATGAGAACCTTACTCGGAGTTTTGTGTCTGCTCGTCCTTATAACATAACGCTAATAACCATGCCGGGCTGGGGGCAGGGAGGGGGCCGCGAGGTGGAAAGGGACTTAGTAGAATTGCTTCATCACCCTACGTTCCGGGGAAGGTCATGTGCATGCCCACTGGTGCATTTGGCATACCGAGGGGCTTAGAGAAATTGCGAAGACTGCCGCCTGCACCGGGCTTCCACGAGCAGAGGAGCCGTCTCAGCAGCCTGGATCTGAAAGAGGGAGAGGTGTGGCCCACCTGCCACTCAGCCGTTCAAAGGGCCATTCAGGACGCTGTTTCAATGTGTTTCTCTTTTCACGGCTGTGAGGTGGGAGGGTGACAGGGACAAAAAGGAAAGGCTGGCCTCGTTGTGCAGGAGGCAGTGATTACGGCTAATAATGCCTGGCTCTGGGCAAGAAAAGCCAGCCTGCGCCACCGGGCAAAGGCCTTTCTCACACGTCCTAGAGCCCGAGCGCCTGTTTCGTAGTATCCGGGCTGAGGGGGGTGTACTGCGGGAAGGTGGGTGCAGAGTGGTGCCAGAGACGACCCTGGGAGCCTCGGCCCCATCCACGCAGCAAAGATGACCAGCCTGGCTTTCCTGGCTCTTCGCCTTTGAAATATGACTCAACTACCTATTGGACCATTCGAATGATTTCCCCTGGGTCACAGCCTGTCTTTCCCTACACAGGAAGGGCTTCAAAAAGTTCCCGGGGGACTTCCAGTGTCTTTTCATTTCACCTAGACATCCAGCCCTGAGCGAGGAGCAGAGAAGCAGAGAAGGCCCCTGCTGCCCATCCCTGACCCGATGGGATGGGACACCTACTGAGGTGCTGGCAGCCGGCGAGCGTCCTGTTTTTGGAGTCTGTGCACCAGAAAGACAGTAGGCAGTGCACACAGCAGACACATGTAGGCACTGGAGTCCCCATGATATCACTGGAAACAAAAGTGTGTGTGTGTGTGTGTGTGTATGTGTGTGTGTGAAACAGGGGACAGGTGTTTCACCACTGACTAGCTATGGAGGTAGAGGAGGGGGTTTAGACATTTTAATTTTTCTCTTTTGGTATGATTCTTGAATTACTTATTTTCTACATAGAACACACTAGGGGGCTTTAGAACATTTGTGAAAATATTCCATCATCTGTTCATTCCATTCTTCCCAGAAGCCTTTAAAAGCCCCCTCCTGGAGCACTTTGATCATTGAAAAGAAAGAGGAAAAGATTTTTAAAATAAAAGAAAGAATGATGTGTCATGTGTTGGCGGAGTCAGATTGCACAACCATAATAACCCGCGAAGTGTAACACGAATACTGAGCTAAAGAAGA